TTGACTCTTCCCCAGAAGGTCCCACTTGCCACCTCCAGGACTCACTGCTCGAGGAGAACGAGCAAGCGATCATGGCAGTACCTATTCAGCCTGTCCTTCAGCCCCTGCCTTGGGGGTGCTCAGTCTTACCTTCCAAAAGCAGTGGTTCCTGCTTTGAGGTGAGGGAGACAGAAGAGACACAAGACAATGAGCTTCCCTGGGACCCTCAGAGTCCTGTTGGGGGGTGTGGGGTGGGGTAAAAGTTGCCAGACCTGGCCACAATCCAGCCAGTTGCAGACAATGAGGGAGCAACTGAGAGCAAACTCCAGCCAGAAGCTTCCAAGGCAGAAGTGGACATCTTTTGATGCTTTGTGAGCACCTCCCTGGGCTCAAGGCTGCCTCGAGCAAAGGGGCCAACAGGGCAGAGGCCCACGGACAGCTTACTGTGGGACTCCGACCCAACCCTCAAGAAAGGAATGGACCCCTGAGCAGAGGCCCAAACTTTAACCCAGTACAATCTTCTAGAATTAAGTCTCTCCCTCTCTCTTCCTCTTCCTTTTCACCTTTGTCTTCACATCCATGATTATTTCAACAAGTATTTATGTGCACAGACTGGCAACCAGCCAGGAACTAGGCATCAGAGAAGAAACTTAGTCTTTCAACAAGAATACAACATTCCAGACAGTGATTTGGACCTGGAAACAAAACCAATCCATCCCTGACCAAATGACCTATGGAATGAAAGCAACACAAATGTCCATCAACTGATGCACAGATAAAGCAAATGTGTTGTATCTGTACAACAGAGTATCATTCAGCCATAAAAAGGAATGGAACATGCTACAACATGGATGAACCTTGAAAATGTTATGCTAAGTGAGAGGAGCCAGTCCTCTAAATGTGAGACCTCAAACCTAAAAATCCTAGAAGAGCACAGTCAGTAATTTCTGATGTCAGCCGTATGTCGTAGGGACGTTTTTCTAGTTATGTCTCCTGAGGCAAGAGAAATAAAAGCAAAAATAAACTATTAGGACTACATCAAAACGAGCGCCTGGATGGCTCAGTGAGTTAAGGGGGTGACTCTTCATTTCGGCTCAGGTCATGATCCCAGGGTCATGGGATTAAGCCCCACCTCCGGCTCTATGCTGGGTGTGGAGCCTCCTCAGGACTGTCTCTCTTCCTTCTGCCCCTCCCCGACATGCATGAGCTCAAAAAAAAGGGACCACATCAAAATAAAAAGCTTCTGCATAGCAAAGGAAATAATTAACAAAACTAAAGGACAACCTACTAACCTATTAACTGATAAAGGGTTAGTATTCAAAATATATAAAGAACTTACATAAGGGTGCCTGGCTGGCTCAGTTGTAGTCCCTGCAACTTGATCTTGGGGTCATGAGTTCGAGGCCCATGTTGGGTTCAGAGCTTACTTAAAAAAAATAAGTAGGGACGCCTGGGTGGCTCAGTTGGTTAAGCAGCTGCCTTCGGCTCAGGTCATGATCCCAGCGTCCTGGGATCGAGTCCCACATCGGGCTCCTTGCTTGGCGGGGAGCCTGCTTCT